GTAATCGAACTGAAAGAAATTGACTCCTGACTATATCAACGTGAACTAGAAAGTCATGAAAGGTTTTTCATAAAATTGAAACTTCTGAGAAATATATTAGAAAGGTTATTCGCTTGTACGAAGAACATGTGTCATTCGTGTAGACATACAAACTCTTTAGAAAATTAGAATACTTTCATAAACCCATCAACAACAATCCTAGGAAGAACGGAAATGCCATCAGGTCCGTTTCGGAATACCTAGGGTTGAAACTATTTGAACACCTGCTGCCTCCCGGGAAATGTTACATAGTAGGTAAAGAAATTGTAATTCGGTCTTCCAGCATTTCGCGTTGAACTTTTAATTATCATCCATACTGATCATTGAACTGATCATTCAGGTTTATAAAAAAATACACATATTACAGTACATATGACATATTACAATATGCATAAACTTAAACCACATGCATAAGTCCCTAAAGCGCTCAAATGTAAAACAAATTTTTGTAAGAATTATATTTTCTATGTGTCAGAATAAATATCCCTGTACACGATATCTTTTGTGTAAACAAGTTTTTTGTTTATCATCGTTTGCTTCTGTTGACGTTATTTTCAATAAATAATTTATTCACTCCAGAGGTTTAACTCTGTAATGCAGCAAACATATAATTGTTTGTGAATAAATACTGGTTTACTAAGGTAGCTTTGGTGTTTGGTCTTGTGGTTAATGGTCATAAATAGGCTTCGCTGATTAAAATTTTGAAATTGTCTTCGTCAAATATGAAAAGGCAAATGAAGGTGTGTTGAGGTAAGCTCAGTTCTTGGTAAAAACCACTAAACCATCCCGACCCGGTTATTATTTCTAAGTGTATACTCCTTTTGTAAAGGTTTAACAAAATTAGTGTAAACTAAAGGCATCCAATTGACCAAACTTAACCCTAGATTTGTTTCTGATCAACATAAAAAATACAATTAATGTAAGTTTATGTGGTGGTATTCCACCTAAAGGTGCGATTGACCCTATGGACACATATTCTATCAAAATAGGCCTAATAATAGGCTGATTCCTAAATATTTTGCGACTGTCTAGGTTTCCATTAAACAGTTATCGAAACTATTTATTATTAGTTATTTATTCAACTATGCATTTATTTATCGTTACTTTTAGTTTGTTCTTTGTCCATGTTTTTCACATGTATACTTTATTCTTATTATTGTTACAATTGACATTCCTTTCATTGTTATTATATATAGATAGGCTATCTAGTCATAATGAGCAAAAGTCCGTTGGCAAGTAGATAAAATAAAAATAAAATTCAACTACTTATTATACGCTTAAAAATTCGCAAATTTGAAAGGTTTCACAGTAAAATAATTCATTTCAACTTTCTAATATATAACTAAAAAGTCTTAATTATTATAGGTAACGTTATCCCTGGTTTTAAATAGTACTAGCAGTGTACCCGTCCTTCGTACGGGGTTAGCAAATAAGCATAAAGTGCTTATTGCAGTTATCCTCAAGCTTTGCTTTTGTAATAGGGAAGGACACGATTTGGTAAAATTAAATTTGTTTCTTTAAATTTACGCTATGCTATAGTACTTTATAACACATCTACCATAGCCATAATGTTTTACCACTGCACATAAATAATAGAAAAAAAAATCAAATCACACAATATCACAAATGATTTATTAACTTGAAAACATAACCATAACTGTAAACAATCCTACTTTGACAGTTCACATGGAGTAGCACAGCATTTTGTTGCTGCTTAGTTCAAATTAGCTGTTGTCATAAATGCAAAAAAAATATAGTACTGCACCCTGTTGGTAAATGCTATAACTTTTAATGCTTTTGCATATCATAGAAATCTTTTTTTCAAGTTTGATATAAAAACTTTGATATATAAAATGTCAAAGAAAACATGACCAAAAACGTAATGATATTTGTTTTTGTAGATCATAAAAAGTTGCACAAGCTACATATTTATACTGAACATATTAATTATGAGTCAGTATCTCTTGTTTCCGTGGATGTACGTACGCCCCAACAATAGGAGTCGGACCCGGAAAACAAGACGATTAGTGATAATTGACAGACTCTCTGCCTCACTCTGACCGTTCCAAAACTTGAATCAACTTAAAATTTGATTAATGTTTCGGGAAGTCGTAACAGTTTGATACGTCTGCCCTTTGCAGTATTATTAATATGGTTTACACAAGAATCTATAGAATGACTGTTGAAGTGATTGACTTTAAATTAAAGAACTATATTTTAACGTTTAACGTTTTAACGTAATTTATAATGTACGTTATTTAGATGGAAAGTAAATAAAAGAAACGTCTTATAACATTAAAAACATATATTTACGCTTATACTGTTACAAGATGGTAAATACACAAAAAAATATGGTAAATGGTTACCACTTACCATCTTTTTTGTACATTTACCGTCTCTACTTGAATACTGCAAGTAGTTAAATCTCATTCACGAGGAACAGGTGTAGTATTGATTGACTTTAGAGAAGGATTGGATTAATATTCCAGCTCCACTCAATATTGCACGCAGAAAACTGCGTTGAAGAAAGGGGTGGTGCCAATCTGCGTGGTGACAAGCTGACGGCGGCCGCAGAGGTGCCAATCAGTCGTAACAGTACACGACATATTGGAACCTCGAGAAAGGGGTGGTGCCAATCTGTCGCGGTGCCAAGCTGACGGCGGCCGCAGAGGTGCCAATCAGTCGTAACAGTACACGACAGATTGGAACCTCTAGAAAAGGGTGGTGCCAATCTGTCGTGGTGCCAAGCTGACGTGGGGTGATATTTCATGGCCTCATGTCAACGAGGTTCCAATGTGACGCCGGGTGCTAAAACACCATGGTGCCAATCTGTCGTGGTGCCAATCTGACTGCGACTCATCAATACTATCAAGCATACTCCCAGTAATTGTGTAAACTTATAGGTAGGCTTAGGCCTATTTCTTGTTTGCAGTTTCAATGTTCTTAGATTTAAGTTCTAGGCTCAAACTAGGGGTTATTTTGGACAAGAATGTGTTTGTTAGGCCGGCCACACACAGAACCAGGCGGGGCGGGGTGCGACATTGACATAACTGGCACAGTTTAAACATTCCTGGCTGTTCAGTCTGTAAAATAGAAAATTTCAACTCTTACATGACTTTCAACAGTGGGAGTTTTCCTCGCAATACCTACAACCTTTTTTTAGATAGGTTGCCTTACTGCTTGGGGTGAGCTTTGGACCTTTCTCGGACAAAAATCAAGTTTCTTAGGAAAGAAGTGCCAACATCTTCTGCAGTGACAGAAAAATCATAAACATCTGCACATGTATACAAACTTGAACGAATAGTGGTTTTGGCATCTGGGGGAAATCAAAATGAAAAAGTAAACCAGACCCAAGTCTAGATCTCCCCATGCCATCTACAGTAATAACGTCTTACCTATATTAGAAATTTGTTAAAAATAAATATATAAGTTTGTTTACCAGGTTCTCATGACTAAAAGCTCAGGAATAACCGTGACCTCTAAAAAAAAATAAGTTAATTTGTTCAAATCAATTCATTGTCCAAAACATTTTTTTCTTTTAAAATAGGCCTAAGGTAGGCCTACAAGTCAGTATGTTAAAATGAATTGTCGCGAGATAAATACTTAGTAATTATGAAATTCATACCGGTACTCCCAACTTACAATTCCTACCAGAGCAATTTCTTGGTGAAAAATCTCCAAAAAAGCTTAGGTAGGTAGTGAGATAAAACGAGAGTGGATCTTACCTTTGCTCTCAGAACTATCTCATTCTTCCCAGGTTTCAAGGTGACATTTGTAGTTTTCAAGGAATGAGTGTAATCGGCTCTGGCTATGGTGACTATTTTGGTAGGCCTCAGTTGACTGTCTTGCCGCCTGTAAAATTATATTCAGTATTAAAAATATGATTGCAAGAAACAAGTTTTCTATATCAAGCATATTAAGACTGTGTGAAATTTCACCTTTAGCTTATTGAGGGCATTTTACATATAGTAGAGGAAATGCATAATGCATGAACCCAGATGGGACTCGAGTACTAAATCCCATAAAGAGCCATGGGGAACGAGGCTGGAACTTTTATAAGATGACTTAACTTTTATAAAACGTCATGTCTTGTGTCCCAACAAATCACGGTACTTATGATGATATATCACTTCAAAATGTGGTTCACAAAAGCACCCCTTGTCTAGCTTTGAATAAACAGATAAGATGAGTGAAGGACGTATCACACGGCCTAAATAGTATTGTTTAAGCTACTAAAGGTTCAGACAAATCATTTTTAACAGTTTAGATTCAAGGGTCAAGGGTCGAGTCTTGAGGTTTGCAATGAGCCTACTGTAATTGTATTATACTACAAGATTTAAAAAGATGGAAAATGTACTAGTTTCTATTAATGTCCTAGTTTAAATTTTTACCCTCTTTTCCAATATTGGGATTTGTTTTGTCCCACTTCATGGAAATAGTAAGAGTTTCAACTTAACCTGCACTACTTACAATTCTGTGTGTGTAAGCTAGCAACAAACCTTAAACAAGCTGATTTCTGGAAGCGTGTCGTAACATTGGCTGTCCTGCTGCTGTCACACACAGAATGAGGCGTGACACGTCAAGTAAAAAGTTTAGCCCCTTAAACCTGAAAATTAATATAGGATTTTTGATTTCTGAGCCTTGAGCCGATTTAGCAAACTTTTAAATTGGACTTTATACTTGGGAGCAGAATAGAAAACAAAATTCAAACAGCCATACCTCCAGAAGAGTGTTTTTTGAAACCCTTTAGATATGAACGTTGGCCCTGTATTTCCTCAGTTATCAATACCAAGATAAATTATTATTTATCCAACCACTGTAGTAATATCACTACTTCACTACGACTTGTATCTAGTCGTATCAAAGGGTGTGTATAAATTGTTACTGTACAGTCTTATATGTAAATTTTATCGGTTGTAAAATAATCCTTATCAAAATTTGCCCGAAAAGGAATAAATCACATGACCGCGCATGCGCAGAAAGTTCTGCCCGGCATCGACTTGCCTCGGGGCATAATTTTGGAGAGCTTCGCATTTTGCCCTGCGGGCGCCCAGGGGCGTCTTTTTGACTTGCCCTGCCTCGCCCGGTCCTGTGTGTGGTGCTCCATAAGAGCCTGTGCAATTCCCGTCGCACAAGACGCCCTGGGGCAAAATGCCCTGTCGCGCCCCGCCCCACCCGGTTCTGTGTGTAGCCGGCCTTAAGTTATGCCTAATTGTTCCCTCACATGATCTGGTCAATACTGGTTTAATTTGACTAGGTTCTTGAAGAAATCTCAAGAAATTGCTCATATTACTATAGGCCTACTCTTTCAAACAATAATTTAATGTTTGTTTCATTAAGGTTTAATACTTTTGTGGCCTATGTTTAAATGTGCACAAATTATGCTTTAGTTAATAGCCAGCGACTTCATAAGTCGGCAAACGAAGCACACAAATTCACATTCATATCTCAAGACAGATTAAAATCCTTTTCCACCCATTTGTCCTTCTCACATTACCTAACTCTGAGGCCTATAAATTTAAGTGACTAAGAACAGTAGGCTGTCACTCGAGAAATAAATCCATGAGAAATCGTTATCAAAGTATAAGTTAGGTTAAATTTCTCTTTTAGTTTCAGGAGACAAAGATCTATTTAAAAATTTGGAACCACTTCTAACTTCAGCTCTGCCTCAAGAGCCAACTGAATGGAGACGTTCCTATGGTCGGATAATCAAATCTGTACATGTTCCTGCAACATTTGTGCCATTCAGCAAAGATATCCTGCCAAAAGAGGGAGATTATCGTCTTATTCACCAGCCAATCTTCCATACCTATTGGACACAATGTCCTGTAAGTAGCCTAGGCATTAGCATACCGGTATTTTTAAAAATTACTTAGAATGGAAAGTGTAAATCTATGTGTAAAAAACTTAGGTTTGATTAAACAATAGGCCTACCTATTGGTTCAGTAACCAAGTTAAAACAATTCACTTTAAAATTACTGAACCTATGCTTTGTGTATAGTCAATGGCTTAACTAAATAATAAAACTATTTGTTTGAAAACTATTCAGATCTTAAAATTGATTGCTAAGAATATTGTTTTTGATTTGCCGCCATATGGAATTTACATGTATAAAATGTAGGTCCTACCTACTCTCTTCCTACCAAGAACGACCTCTAAAAGATCCACTTTACTGCACCTGTAGATTCTTCAGATCATTGATATCTTGCTAAGATTTTAAAAATAACTCATAAAAGCATTTCCACCCAGAAAAAATAGACCTAGGTCTAATCACTTTAAGTAGGTATTATTATGTTAATTTGTACAGGATGTTGAAACATACAAATCAACTGGCAAGGAGGGCATTGAGTCTTGGATGAAGATACTGAATCAAAATAACATTAGTGATTGGATGATTGTGCTTGTGGAGACTTATGATTTCCGGCGAAGCAATAAACTGATTCCAAGAACTACTGTATTAGACAAGATAAGAAGCGATTTTGGCTCAAAACATGCAGACAGGTGGGAATCACAATTTATAGTATTCTCTTGTTTATTTGTTATCACCTGTTTCCCCTAACTTACCAGAGAGTCGATGATGAAGGCCAATTACTATATGAATTTATCTGGATGCAACGTCCAACCTTCTTCCTTTTTGTCTTGAATCACATAAAAAAACATAAAAACAAATATAAATATAATATGTTTTTAAAACATAAAAATATCGTGGACTACATAATTGACAGGTCCATCAATTTTGTTTGGAAGGTAGGCCTAACAAATTAAATCCCAAAATTACAAAGTGCTCCGGCTGCAAATTTTTTCCTTTTTAAAAATTTTTATTGATAATATTGTAGTAAACCTCTGATCACATCTGAAATAGGTAGGTAATTGACAGCTAAACCATTATACTCGGATGTTTAACTCCCAGGAGAAACATTTTTGTGCTATATATGATCATGCAGACAATTTCTTTTCCATATCAACAAATTTAGTGTTTTAATAAATTTTTAGTGTCCTTGATTCATACAAGTCAAGTTCTGCCAGTTTTAAAACATGTGACAAATCAAACTTGTAATTTGTTGATAGTGAATGAATCAATTTGATGTCTGATTAATTTATAAAACTATGTTGCAGGTGTTTATCAGTAATCAACCCGTTAAAGTCAGAGTCGAGATCCGCAGGGTCATGGAGAGGGTTGCTAGTAAACTTCAGGTTACTCTTGTTGTTTGCGTACGATAGAGCATTGCTGCGGTTTGAAGAGATTGTGCGAGAACAGCGGGAGAAGAGAAACCAACCTGGGTGGAGTTTTTGCCAGTATTTTCTCTTACAGGTATTGGCATAAAAAATTGAAATGCATATTATGACATAACTATTACTGTTTATGAAAGTTTAGACTATTTAGAAAAAAAAAATTACTGCCACTTAAACAATCAACCTTAAGTCGCTGGTGCTGTATTGGCCTCATGTATTAAAATATCAAACAGCACTCTTCCCCCCTCACCTAAGCCTAGACTCTGTTGTATTGTAAATTGTAAATTTGCTCTGTCATGATAGATATTTATATATATTTCATTTTATTTTGTGTTTTTCTGCGCCTGGAGGGCAATTAATTTAAGTTTTCTGAAAGGAAACTGTCTAATCCTTGGTCTTGTTAACTATCTAATGTAAACCTTAAGTTAGAAATAGATAGTCCAATGAAAAGGCATTTGGGTCCAAAATAAGTCTTGCCTGAGATCAAACCAAGACCCTCAGATTTGAAGGTAGATAACGACTCCGCTATCCTGACAATATTATTGGCTGGCTATAAGGGTTTTTCTGACATATTTGAGAACAACATCTACTCTGTAGATTAGTTAGGCCTATTATTAATTTATTCCATAATTAATCAATCATTACATTTCATTACAGGAAGAACTTGCATTTGTGCTGGAGATGCTTGGAGTATATGAAGAAGCTCTTGTTCAATACGATGAGTTGGATGCACTTTTCACTCAGTTTGTTTTAAACTCTAATTTGGGAGGTTCGTATAAAAACTGTAGGCCTACTAATTTTATTTTTGTACGATAGTGTTGTTTTGGAATTTTAATTTTTGAAACCTAGTTTTTACAAAAAAAGAAGGATATATCTACAAAGGCTTAATTGAGTCTACTTTTTGTTGTATTTTAGTCAGATTTGTTTACACAAGCTTATATACATTATTTAAAAGACAAAGATTCTAGCCTAATGCTCAATTATTTGAGAAATCTACTTTAGAGCACGGTACATGATTTAACTTAAATTTAACCTTAAATAATCTAAAATATAAAATATCTGGGAATGCATTTCGCTAGAAGCTTTTAAAATAGGAACCAATTTTTAGTTTTGAATAGTTACTCTTATAAATACCACTTATAAACACACCTTAGATTCCTCCATTTTCTCAAAGCAATGTTTTTTATTGGTCCAATGAAAGGTCAGTCAATTTACTCTCAATATATTTTATCCAACCACAACTTGTTACCATCCTCTAACATTTTAATAACGGAAATGTTATCATCACAGACACACCGAAGTGGCTGAGTGGGTTTCAAGCAGCAATAGACCAATGGCCTGGCCTCAGCTTGTCAAAGACAATAGACGTGGAAGCGAGAAAGAAGATTCAACAGAGCGACATCTCGTTGTTGCAGTTCCGAAGTTATCTTTTCTCTCGGCAGTGCTCAATACTCATGGCTACTTGTAAACCTTGGGAGGCAAGTGTATTACAAATCTGTTTATGTATATTTTAAACACAGCTGACTCTCGATTGTCTTGCACTTAAAGGGGTTTGTTAAATTAGCCTACCAAAAATAATACTAAACTTAGCCTAACCGATAAGCAAAAAATAACTCCTTATTCTGAACTCTTTAACTATTAGGTGTTAAAATTAAACGGTGTGCAAAAACACTCCTTAGTAGCCTATGTGATTTTTTTAAAAGTTTTCTAACACTTAACATTATTTGCATCACAGATAGCCCAGCGATGTTTACCGTTCCTTCACAACTGCATCAACGAGCTACGCATTCTCGAGGTGGATAGTCCAGAGGGCGCCGTCGCCTCTTGGATCTTCCTTTGTTGTCTTGAGGTATTTCAATTCTTACTGAAATATAATGTTATTGTCTACTTAATAGGTTATTTTTACGAGTTGAAACTTTTTACTCTAGACTATACAGTATGATTGTTATACTAGAGAATGTAATAAAAAACATATTCGTTTACCTAAGCTAATTTTCAAATAGCCACATATATCAGCAGATAAAGGTTGTTTAAATAAATGCCTGTTAATGTCTGCCAAAGTGATACATTGCTTTGATTGGTTACATAATTTTAAACTTACAATGACTATGGATTGTTTTGTTCAAGGAAAGGCTTTAGGCCAGTATTTTGAATTATAGAATAATGAAGATTCAGCTAGCTTACATGAAGAAGTGTAGGTAGGCCATAGAGACACTGAACAGACAATATTTTGTCTCTTGGGGGACTTTATCAAGTGTAGAGTAAGTGATAGAGAATTGACCATGTATATTCTATGGCCTACCTACATTTCTCCATGTAAGCTAGCTGCTATCCTCCTTTTCTACAATGACTCAGGTTTGTAAGACTGATTAAATGTTAAATGAGAAAACAGGGAATGTTATCTTTGCTGAGAAACATATTTATTTATATTAGGGAATATATGTTACTGTATATTGTCATCATAGTTTGTTTAATATTCTCTTGTTTACTGTTTATTACCATGAGATTAATATAAGTCAAATATCATTGTAATATAGGTGCTGGATACTTGTGCCAGGTTCAACGACACAAGTCAAGTCGCCGCTTATTCTCTCTTCACAGCCACACTCTGGGCCTACGCTAGGGACAAGGTCAGTATCAGTTTAGTTTTCAAACTTTATCACAATTTCAATACATCAGAGCCTGAACTACTAGCTCCTTTAGTTAAAGAGTTTGTTGTTGATGTAATGTCATTTTTTGTTGTAACAGCTGACAGAGCTGGGTCAGCTGTGTGGACTGATGCCAGGTGTTGAGATCACAGGAGAACACTTGCACACTGTGGTGCTGCTGTCCGCTGGCATCGGGGACACTCCAACCAACACCGCGGCTGCAAGACTACGGCAAGCTCTCTCCTCCAAGGAAGCCTTCAAGAAGCAGTACCTGGTACGAACATTGTGTTATACCATAACAAACATATAACTTATACAATTTAGTAGTAGACTGTTGGTTTGTGGTATCATCCCATAATCTGTGTTATTTGGTTTCCAAGTATAGTATATACAACTTTGATTAACCGTCAAGGTCAATATTGTTGTTCGTTATATAAAAAAATGTGTATATTTCTTTATTTTTACTGTGGGTACATTAATAAGTACATTAATACTGTATATGGAATTATGAATTTTCATATAGGCCTATTGTTTTTCTATTTCAGGCTAAATCTAGTTGTTCAAAGGTTCATTGCGGACATTTTCCATCACGATGGTAAAAAACAATACACAATGTTTCGGGATCTGGTTTTAGTTGTAATGTGTTGGATAAGTTTTTCACCTTAGGACGGGATCAGATTCCAGATCCTGAAACGTTGTGTATTGTATTTACCATCGTGATGGAAAATGTCAGCAATAAACCTTTGAACAACATTAACTCACCATCACCAAAAATGAATTTAAAACAAAGAATAAATCTAGTTGTCATCAGATTTTTATTTTTATTTAAGGCTTGTTGTAAAATAGTAGGCTGAAATATCTCTAAACATATCCTCTTTTACTTAAAATGGTTAACAATACCTGCATATGGTAGCCTAATCCTTTGTTGCTGTTTTGGCAACTAGTTTCAGTTCCTCTGAACCATCATCAGGCCTCAAGGTATTCACTTCAAATATTCTAATGTCGTTAACAGAGTTCAATAAATAAAACATATACGACACAGGATAACATAGAACGGACACTTGTTTACAAAAAACACGAAACACACGAAGGGACATTGACAGAAATTATTGTGACCGGGCTGAAGTAAAGTCTGGACTAACTAACTAATTGCCAAAACAGCAACAAAGTATTACTATATGCAGGTATTGTAAACCACTTTAAGTATAATACAGTAATCCGGAGGCTAAACAACTATTAGAAAATATCCTCTTTTCTGTATTTCAGGAACTATCAGAGCTAGCGATCAGCACATACAAGCTCATTGGTCGGGCCCGTTGTGCCCATGACATCGGTAAAAATCTTTCAAGTTTCTACAAAAAGTTAGGTGACTTGAACTCGGCCTCAATGTTTCTGAGGAACTCTTTACACTGTTATGTTGAGGACGGTTGGCATCAACTGGCTGCTCAAACTAGGATCGAACTGGCTTCCTGCTACCGAGAACTGAAAGACTGTAAAAGGTATTGTTGACATGCTTAAACTTTTGTCCTATTTCATAAATCTAAACTTATGTAAGAGTTAGTGTCCTATGTTAATATCTTATTTTTACTAAGAAAAAAATAATTGGTCAAATATCTCTTTGAGTCTAATAATGTGTAACTTTTTGTAGGTATTGCAAGACATGTGCTTCCATTGCTTCAACGACTCATTTAGATTTAGAAACAAGAATGTTTTATTTTGATGAAATGAAACGGTTATTAGAAGATCACAAGTCAGGTAAATGTGGTATTTAATATCGTACTACAACTAAGGTGAATTGTCTTTAGGAGTACATACTGCCATAACAGCCACAGAGCATGTGCATTTTAAATTAAGAAACACAGTGAATGTTTTTAGATATCAGACTTTATGGAACTTTAGAAGTCGCTACTCATATACTTCTACTAGATGTACCATAAGCCCTGAATCATTGGTTTGTTTACAGAGTTTGTAAAGAACCTAGGGGCATGTGCTAATACTACTAGAGAAACAAAAACGATAACATATCTAAACCTACCTGGACTATACAACCATCCACATCTACATTGTAAATGAAATATTCCCAATATATCCATTTGAATGAATGAATGAATCCTTTATTATTTCATTACTGTACATCAGTTACAATGGTACAAACAACGATTTCTGAAATATTTACAACTGTATTTTTTTCACAGAGCCACAATGGACGTGCAGATTCTCCGAGAGTTTTGCACTGTCGAGCATCAGAGTGCAAGTCCTGGAGATGGAGGATGTGGTGGAGGCGACTGTGGTGTTACGAAGTAACTTACCAGGTGACATCGCCTGTCCGTACATTCAGATAGCCACTGAGCCTTCCAAGAAAGAGCCCAACATTACCAAGAAAACAGCCAAGGAAGATACTGGGGAGAGTAAACCGGATAAACTGGTTTCTTGGTAAACATTTATTTGGATTTTATGTAATGTTTGTTGTTTAAACCCCAAGATTGCTTAATTAACTCTAACTGGGTTTGGTACCCAACGTGGAAACATTGAATCTGGAAACATGAATGGAAAATTTTCAACCATAAAAACACATGGATTTATTTTTAATTTTTGCAGTTTGAGTGTCTCTATCTCCTGCGTTTTGGGACTCTTTCAAAACAATTATGGCCAAACCTTTTAAAAATATCTGTAGCCTTAGTATATTACTAAAATATTGGCCAAACTCCATAAATCCAGTATTGCAAAATGTTTAAACTACTATATAATATTATTAAAAAGATTAAATAGGCCTATCAAAAATAAGTAAGTATATATTTTAATTTTACTATAAAGCTTAAGTAAAAATGTATTCAATCGTTTAAGGGTGGATTTTGAAGAACTTAAGTCGACATCGCAGAAAGCACCCTTGGTGGAGAAATTTGATTACAAGCAAGACAAGAGCTTAGCTCAAGCCAATGTTGCGACACGCTTCCAGAAATCAGCTTGTTTAAGGTTTGTTGCTAGCTTACACACTCAGAAGTTGTAAGTTATGTAGGAATTCTTACTATTTCCATGAACTGTGACAAGAGTTGATACAGTCCCACAAATTCAGCGTAATGCAGACCTCAGAAGAGAGCCGAGTTTGAAAATTCAAATATTGGAAAAGATGGTAAAAAATTAAAACTGAGACCTAAATAGAAACTAGTACATTTTCCATTTCTTTTTCAAATCTTGTAGTACAATAGTAGGCTCATTGCAAACCTCGAGACTCGACCCTCGTCTAAACTGTTAAAAATGATTGTCTTAACCTTTAGTAGCTTAAACAATACTTTTTAGGGAGTGATACGTCCTTCATTCATCCCATCTGATTTATTCAAAGCTAGACAAGGGGTGCTTTTGTGAACCACATTTTGAAGTGATATGTGATCATAAGTACCGTGATTTGTTGGGACACAAGACATGTGGTATTATAAAAGTTAAGTCATCTTATAAATGTTCCAGCCTCTTTCCCCATGGCTCTTTATGGGATTTAGTACTCGAGTCCCATCTGGGTTCAAGCATTATGCATTTCCTCTACTATATGTAAAAAGCCCTCAATAAGCTAAAGGTGAAATTTCACACAATCTTGATATGATTGATATAGAAAACTTGTTTCTTGCAATCATATTTTTAATACTGTATATAATTTAACAGGCGGCAAGACAGTCAACTGAGGCCTACCAAAATAGTCACCATAGCGAGAGCCGATTACACTCATTCCTTGAAAACTACAAGTGTTACCTTGAAACCTGGGAAGAATGAAATAGTTCTGAGAGCAAAGGTAAGATCCACTCTCTTTTTATCTCACCACCTAAGCTTTTTGCTTTTTCACCAAGAAATTGCTCTGGCAGGAATTGTAAGTTGGGAGTATGAATTTTATAATTACTAAGTATTTATCTCGCGGCAATTCATTTTAACATACTGACTTGTACCTTATTTTAAAATAAAAAAATGTTTTGGACAATGAATTGATCTGAACAAATTTACTTATTTTTTTTAGAGGTCACGGTTATTCCTGAGCTTTTAGTTATGAGAACCTGGTAAACAAACTTATATTTTTATTTTTAACAAATTTCTCCTATAGGTAAGAAGTTATTACTGTAGATGGCATGGGGAGATCTAGACTTGGGTCTGGTTTACTTTTTTATTTTGATTTCCCCCAGATGCCAAAACCACTATTCGTTCAAGTTTGTATACATATGCAGATGTTTATGATTTTTCTGTCACTGCAGAAGATGTTGGCACTTCTTTCCTAAGAAACTTGATTTTTGTCCGAGAAAGGTCCACAGCTCACTCCAAGCAGTATGGCAAGCTATCTAAAAAAAGGTTGTAGGTATTGCGAGGAAAACTCCCTCTGTTGAAAGTCATGTAAGAGTTGAAATTTTCTATTTTACAGACTGAACAGCCAGGAATGTTTAAACTGTGCCAGTTATGTGTGGGCTTGCCTGGGTTGGAGTTTTTATCAGATTGCATCAAGCCAAGGTTAAAATACGAGGTAGTCGACATGCCAATAACCACAAGACTGATCAAAGGAGAAAAGGATCTCTTGGCAGGACTTCCTCAAACACTAGTCGTCAACATACACACAGGCAGCAGACACATACCTCATGTAAGTATTAAGGCTTGTAGTTAAAAGTATAGATGAATCCCAAGAATCTGGTGAATTAAATTGAATGAGTGACTTGTTCTGTTCAATTCAAATTGTCTTTAGTCATTGAGTAGGCTTTACATTGAACAGTGTCAAATATAATTCTTGTTTTAAAAGAATCCCTACTGATAGGTACAGTAGACTCTTGATAATTCGAAATTGGTGGGCCAAGCATATAAATTTGAATTATCAAGAGTTTTGAATTATCAAGAGTTCGATTTATCGGGAGAAAAATAAACCATTCGAATTACAGAGAGTTCATTTGTTTAATACATACAAAGGTACAGCACGTTACAACGAATAAAACATCATACCGTATTTTAGTACACTTTTAACAATCAACAGCTTATTTTTCAGTTACTGTAGTTGCAAAGAAATCTGTTATTTAGCGCTATATATTTCGACGTTTGTGCTCAAGGAGATGTCGCGCAATATAGAGATCGGATTGCCAACTTAGAAAAACAAGTCAGCGAACTAACTCTGACTACTGCTCTAACTAAACAAACATCAAAACGTCCAACACTAGCCTACCATGGGAACAGGATGTACTGTACTGTATAGTTTCCTGTTATAACAGGAAGAGATCACTTCGAATTATAGAGTGTTTTGCCGACTAAACTTCGAATTACTGTGTGACTTTGATTTATAGAGTGTTTTTTCGACAAAACTTCAAATTACAGCATGACTTCGAATTATAGAGTGTTAACCGACGAAACTTCGAATTACTGAGTAACTTTGAATTATAGAGTGTTTTTCCGACGAAACTTCGAATTACTGCGTGTTACAAATTGACCTGCCCTCTATTTGGACTTTGAAATACCGAGTGTATCAAAATGCATGGTAAAAATTTGAAATATTGAGAGATTCTCTATGGACTGAGCCTTCATTTTGAATTATCGAAAGTTTTGAATTATCAAGTGTTTGAATTACCAAGAGTGGACTGTATAAACATAAACAACAATACCCCCGCCGCAGCAAACCTGCAGACTAAGCAAATTTCCATTTGCCTGAATTGATATACAATTAAATCTATTTAAATAACATTAAGTTAAACGAGTACCTAGGTTTGTTGCTACAGGGAGGCTAATAAAAAGTGTGTTTTTTAGTAAAATATTAATAGCTTAGTATAAAATAAATAAATTTGCCAAGTTTGATCAAAATAAATCCATAAACAAGCAAAATATAACATTTTACAATATTCTCCATAAGAATAACATGGGAATTTTAAATTTGAAAATTGTTGAATTATTTCCGTAACCAATAACCACACAAAAACACTTCAATATACTAAATTATTTGTCTTTTTAAGCTCTTTAAAATGGTCTAGAGAGAAATTGGGTAATTTTGTGTTTTGATGGTCAAAAATGAGAAAACCCAATTTTTACCCCATAAAACCCCCCGTAAAAACCTGTTACCATCGTCCGATCACGCTAGTTCACGAATTCATTCAAGTTTATCTTGCCTTACCCTTCAAACTAAATTTCATCAAAATCAAACAAAAATTACTCAAGTTCCTCAAGTTGAATGCGATGTTCACAGACACACACATCACTGATCAACAATTAATTATTGTTTTAGCAATTCCCCATTCCTTTACCTTACATCAAAGAACGCTAAGTAAAAATGTAACCATTTATTAGAAAAAGAGGATAGCGTAACTAGCTTAGACTCCTGGGGCTAATTTTTCCCTTATTTGTCTCTCCTTCAACCTACTCTTTAGAGAATTACTATATTAGGACGAATGCTTTGTTTTATGACTTGTTTTGTTATTATGTCTCTATTAGCCCCTGGACTCTTAACTTTCTCAGGTAACCTAACTGAACTTTATCACCTTTAAAAATCCTAATCAGCCACTTGGTTTATCTTTTAAAAAGTAGGCCCTAACAACCTAAGTTAGCACTATATCGGTTGTTATAGGTTTTTTTACTTCGCAAGATAAATTGTTTTCCCCAGGATTTTGTTGATGTTTGCAATGTGTTCGTAGAGCTCCGTTCTTCGTTTGCACACCACGGCAGGCTTGACACTGCAGCTGACAGAGACTGATACGCCAAGTAGACAACTGGACATTGCTTTACCTGCGGCACCTCCGTTCAAGACGCTAGAGTTGCCTATCATAGTTTTTGCTGAGTTGGCGCCGCAGCGGGACAGCTCGCCTATAGACCATGTGGTCAGTATTAAAGTTTTTTGGTTAACCTCCAAGGCTAATTTATAGCCTATCCAACAAATCGCACAGTGGACTAATATTGTGAGTTTTCATACACTGCTCTATGGACCAAGGTCCCAGACATATTGTACTGTAGGAATTTCATATTTTTTAAAATTATTATTTCTGTAAATAGACAGGAGTTTTGATTGCAGATTTGTTGAATTATAGGACGTATGATGTGTAAGATAAATATGTCCAAACTATACTTCATAGGAAGATCTTTGAAGAAAATTCACTAGGGGTCTGCGGTGCACCGAAAAAGTCGGTACGGTACAAGTTTAATTACCGTCATCGGTTCGGTACAGCATTTTACACGGTACAAATTCGGTTCGGTACAGCCTATTATAATAATAAATTACTTTCAGTTTACTATCGTAGTCAACGGCAGTTGGTTCCGAGCACATAAAAGTCTTATCAGATGTTTGTTTACGATCTTCATACTTTATTACTAGCGTGATGATGCAATAAAAAACCCATTAGCAGTCCCAAATCCATTAACATTTTATCACGACAATAATTGTTGTATTGAAGTACTTCCAAGAACTGTTGAGTTTTATCACTTTTATTTCTTTACGACTTTCCCCAATTCTGTTTTATCATAAAAATAATAGTTTTATGATGACTGTGTAATGTTATCTCTAACTTAATCAGTATTTTTGTGAATATTGAATTTGCCGCTGGCCATTGCCTACTGCCATAAAACTGTTTATGGCTACATATTAAACTTGTAACAAATCTACAATCTTATTTTATAAATTAAATATTTGTTATGGATATTTTATCTTTCTATTGACGACCATGGATATATACAAACTTTTGTCGTAATTTTAATTTCAACATCAAAATACAATATTGCACAATCGTGATATTTTAGGCCATTGACCTTTATTATGCATCCGGTATTGCTGATTCAGAAGAGAAGCACGTTGATAAATTATAAATTGATATTCCCGTAGTTAAAAAGAATTATTTTATAAACCTATAAAACAAAATCATAAAATCTTACATAAAGATAACAATAACGGAAATTGTAAAAAGGGTATAAAGATAACAACGTCATTCTTTCTCTTTGTTCTTCTATTTCTTGGGTTTCCCTTCATCACGCATTCAACAAGTTGCCATGGTTACTAATCACCCATGTCGTTATCAGCTTTTGTGACATAGCGCACAGCAGGGGGTAAAACTTGACGAAAATCGGTAAATTTTTACCTATTATTTAATTACCAATGAATGTACGGTACTACTTTATTGGTATTTGGTATTGTATAAATAATCGGTCCAAATGGCAGATTTTTGTCAAATTTTACACCAAATTTATTGAAATTTCAAGGTGAATATTAATAAAACAATTATTACCAAATATTTGTATTCATTTAAAAGATTGATTTGTGGTATTGGGTTCCCCACTGAGTGCAGCCGAGCAGCACTAATGAGGGTCGGACCTTCTTGGGGCTGAACAATAGACGGCTTATCAGACCCTCCCCTCCCCCGTGGTCTGGAGAAAGCATGTAAACAAACTATTGCACAAGCAAGCGTGCGTGACTTGACATTGAGCTGCTTCAACTATAATTTTGTCAAATGAACTGTGATGTTTCAAAATCAAAAACAATAATTTAGGACCATACTGCTTAACAATAATGGACTGCAATTATTGTTGAACATACAATCCATTTTTAACAAACTAAGATTATACGATTCAAATACAATTATAAAAATTATCTTGGTATGTTACTTGGGGTAATGAAGTTATGTAGGCTAGTGTAATTCTCGGTTCATCAAGGTTCTACTGAATTATGTTTGGCAGTGAATAAGTGTGGAATCCAATTTATAAATTCAGGGATACACACCTTTTACACAGTTATAAAGTCTAATTGCCCAACATCAAATCTTACTCTGTGATAATCCAAATTTTAGTTTCAGAAAAAAACTTTGCAAGAATTGTATCCATCTTATAACTTAACTAGTTTTGAAGCTGATAAAAAAAATGGTCTTTGCCATTACTTCATCATAACCTCCAGTTTTTCATTGTCATCTGCTGTGAACAGCTGGCAAAACTACACTGTCTTCTACTGAATGCTTTTATATGTTTTTAAAATAAAAAAAAAACAACTAGACATTGTGTTGGTTGGAAATAATTTATCAGTTTTGTGAAATTATCTTGTCAATAAAATTTGTTTCAAACATGTTTGTTCATAAAAACTCTCATCCTATTTTTAAACTACTTTATCATGGCTATTCAAAGTATCTCAGAGTAAAATAGGTAAAGCCTTTATCTCAACTGTGATTTTTCTTGACACAATCCTCGTAGTAGTAAAAGGTTTTGTTTTAATAATATGTGGTACAGTAATTGTTGTTAGAAAACCATGAATGTAGGATACTATTCATTTTCATAGTAATGTCTATGTATTAAAGTTAAAAATAATGGTTTGGATACAGTTCTGAGAAGAAAACCGCAAAAATACGGGTAGCCGCGTACCGTACCGATTTTGTACCGTGAAACGAACCGTACCGACCTTAAATTTTCTGTACCGCAGACCCCTAAAATTCACCAATTACAGAAAGTTTTTTTTTAATGGGCACCATTCAATAATTTACCTACATAAAATATTTAAACAGGTACTGGTATATAAAATTGATAAAAATCTTCAGTCTTTCCTCTTTATATTATTGCCTTCCCATTTGGACTATGGACAGCAGGTTTATAATATGAATAAGTTCAATCACATATACCGTAAGGCACTTGCTCTAGAAAAGCAACTTAAAAAAAAGTATCTACTGTTCATTGGAAGTTGTCTTTTTATATACCTCCTTTTCTGAAGAGCTAAATCAAGACCATTCAACTGCGCGATCTTCTCATACGTTTTCTGTCTAGCTAGGAGCGCTAGTAACGGAAACCAAAAATGAATGCAACTAAAATTTAATATTGGACCGGCACAACAGGTTGACATAGTTTAGTCGATCTCTATCAATGCAGAGTTTACAGTAGATCAATCTTTATAAAGCTGTACTGTCACTCTGACCGGAGTCATACAGAACCTCTGCCAGTATGGCATGACTCCAATCGGAGTTGTCGGCAGCAAATATTTTAAATATGCATTCTTTATCTGTCTCAACTTGAGCCGTAGTATAAATCAATGCTGATTGTGAAACATTATTTAAATGATTTATTTACAGATCACCCTGAGGTGTCCATGGGTAGAGGATGAGAAACCTCTCCTGCTACAGTTTCAACCTCCGTTCCTCACAGTGTCTAGGCTCCATACTGCCTACCTACACAAGTTCATACACGTGTCTGTGGTGGGGTTGAGTGACCGACTGTTACAACTGTCTCAACCTCAGTTGGTCGCTACTTCCACCTGCCCCGTCCAACTTGTCTCTCACAACCCCACGGAAGGCCAACGGCTGGTAAGTTAAGCACCTGGCTTTGACAAATGTTAGTTTGTAAAATCTCTTAGGATTGAATGGTTTTTTGTTGGTCAAATTGAATCTATAACACAGAACAACAAGAAATTTTGATTATAATAAGTTACACAAATAAAAAAGTTACATCACATAAGGAAATAAGCACAGCATTACCTAAGCAAGGAATGCGCCTGGTCTAAGCGTGTACTCAAATGCCTTCAATATGAGAGGCGCAACTATTCCTATTTTTGAACCCTCTAAACTTAAAAGCTACTAAATCATATATTTTTGACTTTCTTAAATTCACTAGTTTCACTGGGTCCAAAGGATAGTCTCTTTAAAAAATTGAAATAATATTTTCAGACCTAGCGAACTGAAATATAAAATTTTGATTGAGCTTCTAAAGATGATCCATCAAGAGAGGGCCATGAATAAATTATAATTATACAAGTGATATGTACATTTTTATGTAATTTATTAAACCCCAACTTTGGTATTGATCGTAAGTTGTCAGTTTGACTGATTGTTTTGACAGTTTGTTAGCTCTGACAAGCGAGTAGCGTTTATGTGGGAGCTACAGCCTGACGACTCTCCGAGTACTCCTCCGATACGCACTGAGTTTACTGTACAGTACAAACCTCTCACACCTGACAACTCCCCCCACATCACCTACAAGTGCCCTTTTGACATCATTAACTACAAGGTAAGAAAACACATTAACTAAGAAGGAATGGATCTAGATGCACAACTAACTCACCATATAAATTAGTACCAGGCAATTGTTAGCACAGAAAAAGGTCACACAATACAATCTTTTTGTGAGGATGCCACGCTTGCCCAAATGGAAAAGAGTCCAATCTGGCACAAGAGACACACAACTTTACACTGTACACAAACATTAGAACATTGCACTGTCCTGACAGTATTTTCAATCATTATGGGTTTAAGTTGTAGAAAGAATAGTATTCTAATATGAACATATAATTTGATATAAATGGTATAGTATGAATTAGGCCTGAAGACAACTCTACCACTAACTCAAACCTTCCTTAGTTGAAAAGTTGAAATTGAAATTGCTGTCAATATACTAATTTTTTTGTAAAATGTAAAATTTTGCGTTTCTTGTGCCAGATGGATTTACTTTGCCATCCAGGTAAGCTTGTTATTCTGACACAATCGTAATAACCTAGACCCTTGTGTTTTTTGCTAGATCTTTCACAAGACAATTAATTTGATGTTTTCCCTCCAAGAAAAATATGAACAGTCTGACAGGTCTTACAGTCTGAGCGGTAAGTTCAGAAAGAGTTCGTAAAATTTTTAAAACACTTGTTAAAACAAAACAAAATGTATACATTCTACAGTTACTAACCAGCTAGGTGAGTTAGTTACAACGAAAACAAAAACCCAAATATGAACTACTGATTTTCTCTGATAAACCAGCAAAATTATGAGTAAAAGATGAATTATTACTATAACCATTTTAGCTATTATTACCACTCACCAATTTTCAAGCAGGTTCAAACAAAGATAATAGTTTTTTTTTAATTAAAAACAAATCCATAACTCAATACAATATCAGCTCCTATGTTCATAAACTTGGTCAGCAAGCAGTGATGTATTTCGCAGACGCTGTTCATCGTGGAAGCTCGAGTGGAACCGACTAAGGACAGTGAGTTTTGTCGCGCCAGCACCGTCTGTCACCTGCACATCAGTGTACAGAGAGTGTGCGCCAGCAGTGATACTAGTCTGATGTACGAGGTGCTCGCTGACCAGACCATGTGGGCCATCTGCGCCAACACCGCAGGTGTGTACGGCGTCTAGTTAGTGGTATTGACTACGCTAGTGGCATTTCCAAAGGTATGACAAACCCTTAAGGAAACCATTTACTCCATTTAATTTTTTTGGATTTGATTGGGAAGGAACTCCTTTCTTTCGCGTAGAAGTCAGAGACGCTAACTACCAAGTGTCTTCTTAGTATGTTATTGTAAGTAAGTGTTTGATAATTTTGCACCAGTAGGCTAAAAGTGTTGTAAAAATAAATTTGCCCTGATCTACATCACATCAATATTTTATGGTCTGTTTGAACTGGGGACTGGGGGTCAGCTAGATGAACTAATTTGTGGTTTGGGACAGAATACCGTTGCTTGGGCCTAATATAGTGTCGTAAAAGGATAAAGGTGATCTACAAATGCTTGTGTTTTATGGCCACATTGTGTGTAAAGCATCTGTAAAACCGGAATTGGAAATAATTTTTATACCTATTTCTAAAATCTTTCCAATTGCAATAACTCTATGCACAGTTGTTTATTTTTAAAATGTTACCAGAACTTAATCCTATAAGAATTCCTAGCCTCTACTCTCTACACCTGTACACTTGTCCTCCATAATTCTCTAATTTCCTTATTCTCTCTCCTCTATTTTCGCTACAATCCAAGCAAAAGCAGTAGAGCAAAATTTATGCAGCAACAGATAATTTTGATATTTTCTTTAAAACATAGTTCCACATTTTAACAATTTCTCTTGAAGAAGAAGAAGAAAGAAAAACTTGGTGTTCCATCTCAAACCAAGCCATGCATAACCTCTGTTTACCATGATTGAAACACCATCTTAAGCTGCATAGATCGCTATTCAAGCATCGGTCTTTAGTCTTACATAGCTTTATATTTTATATTTCTGTTCCAGGTGTTATCAACGTAGAAGCGGGAGAGAGACAGTCTGTAACGTTGGATGTGATGCCCCTCATCAACGGATACCTCCCCCTCCCCCTGGTGCGGCTCTCCAAGTACATCCCTGCCGATGTCAAACTTTCCTCAGGCAGAGGTAAACTTCTTGTATGTTGAAAGTAGAAAACTAATTAACACCTTCTAAGAACATGCTACAGTGACTTTCTCATAGCATTGTACAGCAAAAAATGTTTAACAGATCGCTGGTTGAAGTACACAATTTTTCATGGAACTCGATGAGAGGAAAAGTAACCGCCTTTTTGGAAGAAGGTTTTTTTACTGTTATGAATTTCTCAATGACACAACATGGGTTCATAACACCCATGTCTTGTTTGCAGGATGAGATTTTCAAATATTATTGTATCAAATATTTTACGTCATTATGGTAAGTATACCTCTGCATGAGATTAAGAAGTAATGCAAGATCACTCCAGATAAAGGACTCAACAATTTCTGTTTGGTGATATACTGATACGAATGACTTAGTCACTCACTAACTGATTGGTGATTATTTACTAAGAAGTTATAGGTGATTTTACTATACTTTCTTCTGAAGAAGCCTCCTTGAAGGGCTGAAATATAAGGTTAATGCTGTTGTACACCTTTGTGCTATAAAGCCTGTGCCTGGAACTCTCATCATGGGCAAGTTATCTACATACCCATTCCTTATTATTTAAGAATAAGGAAGTAACATTGAGCACAAGGGCCTTGATTTTACAGTTTGTTTTAAGGATAGCAGGTTTAACTGAATTGGAAAGACTCCATCTGATGCAAGAAACACAAAGCTTAACACGTAAAAAAATTTCAGGGACACTGATCGCAGTTTCAACCAAGAAAGGTTTGAGTTGCAGAGAGGACACAATATATTGATGTTGAATATTGAGTGATTGTGTTTGTTATAGTGTTACACGCAGACTCGCACCCCAGGTCAGAGCCGTTCTCTCCTGGCCAAGTGTACAACTGCAGTAAGGGTAGTCAGGTCCATGTCATTGCCGCTGCCACCACATAGCAGTCAGGTGGGTGTACTCAGTCAAGTTAATACTACTGTATGCTGTCTTATTCATTTATATACTGTAGCGCACCTATTGTGGCGTAAAATTAGGCTACCAGGAATATTGATAATTGAGGAAATATTGACAAGAAATGTTAAGTCATATCACCCAGAATTTATTAATTCCAGGGAATTTTTTGGTTCACACCAATTATCTGCAATAGGATTAAAATACCCCTTTATACTTTGGTCTAATAAATTTAGGCCTTACTCAATTAATTAATTTGTTCATGTGTAAACTTATAGTTATTGTTATTTGAATTTGCCCTTTGTAATTGTTTATTTTTCAAGTTTTGAATGAATAAAAAGTGAATTATGATTGCTGAAGTCACTGTAATGCTACTGATATTAATATTATTTTTTCATCGATTACAATTAAAAGGGCAACAATGAGTTTACTTATTGCTGGAATTATGTCTCAAATTCAAGGAGTTGTAACTATATCAGAAAAACCACACACTGGCACCAAGTCCAAAACTTTTTAAGGGAACTTGTAGACAACTTAATTTATTTTACATAGTTGACTCTAACTATATGTTACAGAAAAGAAATGAGGAAACAGTTCGGGCAGGGGCAGTGGGGGTGTTGGCAATACTGGCAGTGCTAGTGGCAATGTTGGTAGCTCTGTTACCAGTGGATTCGTCAGTTTCAAGTCCTGGTTCCAACTGTAGCTAACTTCATCTTCTTCCCTCGTACCAACACAATCCAACACCAAGCACAAACTGTCAACGCTGCCTTCCGTTTTCTCATCACTATAGTAATGAAACAGTTGATTTCATACAGCTTTTTACACTTTTATATTCGTATAAAATTCTTGTACAAGCGACTATTATGAAAACCAAAGCAGACTTGAATCTTACAACGAACTTTAATGGTTTGAAATTGTATTTTAAATATATGTCATTGTATTTCAATATGTAGTTTAGGAACGTTCTTACCTTTTGTATGCTTTAACAGCGTTCAAATTATGTTTAAATTATTGAAATTAGTATTTACGTAAAGTTGAGTCTCTAAAATTTAGTTGTACGGTTGAAAATTAGGTTTGTATTATTTAGTCAGCCTTACTACAATGTAAAATAATCCAAAATAAATTTACAAACCTGAATTGTTCAAATTAGTTATGTAATTTTTTTCCAAAACAATAAATGATAGAGAACAGATGCTCCAAAATCAGCAATTTTATATTTTTAGCTTTGGAAATTATGAAGTAACCTGCTCCAACTAAAGGTCATCTAACTCGTTTTTTCACCTAAGCGATATCTAGTTTAGTTTGGGTGACAAAGGGTTAAAAATTACTAAATTTTCATAATCATTTTTAATCTTTATCATAAACTATGAATCACTGAGCTATAAAGCATACACAAGGTAATAAATACAAAAACTTTGTCATATCATAATCTAAACGTTTAACAGACACGCAATATTAGAGCAATCTTAATATTAAGCACCAATTTTTATTAGAACCCATTTGCTCCTGGTCTAGTTAACGGTCCCATGAAATGTAGTTTTTAATTACACATTTTAGATTTTTGTATGGGTTTTAGACAGCTAAGATGCTGGAGCAAATGATATGTGCAAATTTGTGATAAATTGTAAATTTGTAGCAATAATTCAATGTTAACTTGTACACTTGCTTCTGTTCATATTTGATGCATCGGCAGTTTTATAAATAAATAATCCTGTATTTTTTTGTTTGGAGATTATAATGGATTTAGAATCAAAATAATTATCAATTGATTATGAGTTTTAGAATAATGGCAAGCATGTTTTCAACATGTAAGGGAATATATGTACGTCCTTAACTTCATTTGTTAAATAAAAATACCTTTATTCAGCATGTACAAATGCAGTAAAAAAAACTTTATTTTATTGCATGCTTATTTTTTAGTATCAGAATGAGAATGTGTAAACAAAGAGATTAACAAAATTAACCGTAATTAATTTAACAAACTTTTAAGGGTTGAACCAATACAGATTTTAATTTCCCTAAAATTGTTACCAACTTTGGTTTGGTGCTCTTTCTGTCAGAATTAGTGTTTTAGAAATATGTTTTATCAACAACCACTCTTAAAACGTTTAGGACGCATAAAACGTCTTAAAGCATACAATTGCCTATTTGGTCAATCTTTGCCATTTTTACTTTATTTATAGCCTACCTGTAACTCTTGATTGTTTATTTATTATGTTTAGAGGTTAGGTTAAGTCATTATAAATTTAACTAACTAGTCCACATTTATAGGACAGTGCCAAACTGTATTATGTAAATAGTCTAATTTGGGAATCAATTTTAGAGGGCACTTGTTAAGGTGGTCAAAGAAATGTGTTTTAGGTGGTTAAGATATGAGTTTAATTTATCATTTTCTGGTTCGATTTTCCTCAGGAATATTCTTTGTAAAGACAAAATAGACAATTTAATTATATCTCTCTTAGTTTGTTTTTATTAGTTTGGTTTGTTGTAGCACATAAATTATTTTCTCAGGTAAAACAATCACAATAATGTTATGGCTTTGCTTAGTTGCACAATTATTGTCCCATAAAATATAGTAGAATACTATTTCCAATTTTGAAATAATTAACTCGTTTAAAAAGCCAATACTATTAATAATCTTGGTAACAAGTAAAGATGTATCATTCCTATGAGCACAAAACAAATGGGTGCCAAAACTATATTTGCTTACAATATATTGTTCAAAAAACTAATGGCATGCAATCAATGTTTTAATCAAAACCCAAATTGAGTATCTTTGAGTCTTTTGGAATCAGGTTGATGGATGATTTAAAGACTACACAACATTGTTGAATTTTCTGATTCTCAGATAACTTATGATTGCAATATTTCTGTTAATGCTTGAGTGTGTGTGTTATTTCTTTATTGTTATAGGTTATTTTAATACTTTTAAAATTACTTACCATTATGAACGATATATTTATTAATAACTGCTTGTTCTCTGATACCACAGACCAAATGCACCTTATTAAACTTATCGTCATATAAAAGCGGCACATTTACTCATCAATACACTTCACACTCAGGCATTACCCAACGTGAAACCCACTAAACCTAGCTTTAAATTTTACCATGGGACAAGAAGTTAGTACCTATCTAAAGTGGTGTTTCTTTTAATCACAATGTACAGTACTATTTCTTGCTGTAAATGGTTAGTATCTGTTGTAGTATTGTTATTCATTTATAATTATAATTTATTTTAAGTGATTTTATTATACTCTTGAGTTATGTTTATAAAAGTGCTTTATGAATGTTGGCATTTTGCACACGACTGTAAATAACGGAGCAAAGATGACAAATCTCAGTTTGTTTGTATGTACATTTTGTAAACTTGTATATTCTGTTATGTTGTTGACTGTATATAATGTTCACTGCTATGTGTTATTGAATATTTGTTTTGTAGTATTGTTATGATCACAACAATGTTTATCTTTATATGTACTCCAGCCTCTTGCTTAGGTATAGGTGAAATTATTCTAATTATAAAATGAAATTGGTTTGTGTTTGTGGTAGGATGAGGCAGGAAATTATTTGATTTATACCTAATATGGAAAATGGGCTCTACTCAACAAACTTTATTGGTTTTTATTTTACAAGCCCTTTTATATAGCAATGATTTTCAAAGTTTTTCAGGAAATCTCCTAATTTCTTACTAAATTAGTTAATTACAATAACATTTATTTGTTCTATATATTATCAAGTTTTCTCGGTAACTAATACATTTTTTGGCCCTGATTTTTTTTATTTCTTAGACAGATGGCACTAGACATTCAATCCCCATGTGAAAGTAGTTGCCAGTTTTTAAAATTAAATAGAACATTTAGTTTTTTTAAATGTTTAATTTTGTCCCAATCTCACATTCTAGGACGCTAGGTTCTAGCCCAGAATTGTTTTACGCATTACTTCAGGCTAGTCCTGGTATTTGAACCGCCTTAAACACCTAAGTCTAATGCTCATGAAATCAGCTGTGGCTCTACCACTAACAAGTTGGAAGCGAACTGGTCTAGTAGTAGAGCTTGGGGTTTCAGAGCCCGAGTTTATATTCCACCAATTACTAATATTATCTTAAATGATAATGCTGCAACCCTCTATGACTAGCCTGAAGTGACATGTTAAAAGGTTCCATGGTAGAACTAGTGTCCTATAATGTCAAGGTAGGACAAAAAGCACCAACAAAGGCAACGTGTAATTTGTACCTGAGCCTTAATGCAGCATGATTCTTTACAATAATAGAGTGAAAGTTTTACTTAATTCCATATTTGTAAAATATCCTGCATGACCAAAATAGATTGAACTTAACACTGATACCGAAACCCCGGTCTGACAGGCCCACGGGAATTTTCAAAAACGCATGTTGGCAACACTGTTTACTTGGGAGATTCCATTCCCCCCTTTTCCTCCCTACCTATTGATACTGGGTGGCGCATAAAGAACGCATGGATTTGAGTTGAGTGGTGAGAGCAATAAAATCGTCCGTGGAGGGACAGGGCCTGGTTGTTTTGTAGGTTAGGGCGTCCAGTTTTAGTAGCAATGGTGCAATCGACCTGGCGCATCGCGTTTTTGCTGTAGAACATTTATTAAAAATAATGAATCTGATATAACTGTTCAATGGCTTCTCCGTGCACAGTTCAATGGTTCAAAACAAAACCCGATCGCAACACAATACTTTGTTGGGTAGACTCTTTTCGCACAACTGAATCAGTTATGAAGCAGGAGTGGTTTGGTTGTCCTTGCACGGCGCGAACTCCACAAAATGTCGACAGAGTAAGGGCGTCTGTTACACTAGGCGATGCGCTCCAACTGTGTGCTTGTCTTGACGCTCGTTGCAGGGCAACCTGAAAGATGAGTTAAAATTTCATCCTTACAAAATTATGATCGTACAGAAGATTTATGAACGTGATTACGAAAATGGAAACTGTTTTGAGAGAATGGTTGATGTTTTTGCCATTGATGGTGTTTTGTGTATGATGTTAGTGATGGAGCGCAGTTTCATTTGGATAGTTATGTCAATAAGCAAAACTGGCACTATTTGGCAGCAGAAGACCCAAAAGAATTGCATCAAAAACCACTGCACGATTTGAAACTTAACTTTTGGTGTAACTTTTGTTATTTTTGGGCCTTACCGTACTTTTTTCAGGACTCGCGGAACATTGAACTTTGTGCAGAAAAGCCGTTGAACAGTTTTAACAGATTTAATTACTTTTGAATAAATGTTCTACCGCAAAAATGTGATGTACCACGGACCACTGCACCATTGCTACTAAAACTGGACACCCTAACCTACAAAACAACCAGGCCCAGTCCCTCCACTACGCTCCTATCGCTCTCACCACTCAACTCAAATCCATGCGTTCTTTATGCGCCACCCAGTATATTGTTTGTTCATTTTGCATGGGTGCCATGACCTTGACAGGTTGTCTGTTCACAAAATGTCCCAGAAGCCCTGCGTTAGTGTATTTTAAAGCGGGGTCTCACAGGCCGAGGGATTCGGTTTGTGTGTTTCTAAGCGGGGTCCATTATTTTTCAAATGGGGTCTCACAGACCGGGGGTTTCGGTTAACGTCAGCCGGAGTAGGGTTTCGGTATTAGTGTTAAAAGAGTATCTCAAGTGGATGATAGAACACAAAATTAAAGTATTCCCATAATTTACAAACATTTTGTACATTAATAAAAATAATAAATCCTACACATTTAACCAATAATCTATTTTCCTGCCTCAAAGTCATTTAGGTAATGTATTGATTCATCCAATAGTGCTATGTTATGAGAGAACCTAGGGTAGTGTTAGCACATTATATTTTTGTATTTGCTCAATGCCCAGACCAGACAATATTAGTGTAGTCTTGAGCCATTAAGATATGCCTGGTGGAAGCTCTTGAAAATGAGAGATTAATAAAAGGCTGTGAGTCAATTGTTGTATTTCTTCTTACCTTTTGCATAACATTTTATTCATTCAGTGGATTTTTTACACTAAATACATCTAGGTCCACACTAAAGGGGACTAGGGAGCCCAATGACAATTAATTTTCTGTAATATAATTATGAATCAAACAAAGCAATATTGCAATTTATCCAAAAATTTCTGTTAATTTGATATTATATTACAAGGAAATCGGTCTATGTATACATATTTTAACGACAAAATATCAATAATTATCCATCATTGAGATATGAGATGTGAACGTCACCTAGGTGCGCGTATTTTAACCCAAATATGAGTGCAGGATGAGTGTTGTAAAATGGTGTGACTTTTCTAATTGATCAGTGTGTTCTTTTTGGGGATTCTACTTGGAACAAAAATCAGCCGTTTCATTAGCCAGGATCTTTTAGCCATGATAATAAATGGCTGGGCCCAGTTTCGAACCATCAAAAAGCTACCAATTTTCTCAAGATCGAAATGGTGACCTTTTGATTTCTAGGCGAGCATTATAATCATTCGGCTACCCAGCCAGTCATAAAGGACTGGCCGCCGCACCAGTGAACAATATATGGCGGACATGGACCCAACCCTTGGCTTGCCATAACTGTCTACATTAATTATATTTGCAACTTACAGTACATCCCAAAACCAAGTAGGAAGTAATTCTGGTTGGGAAGAAGCTGAGAGTGAGACTTGTTATTTAACTGAGTTATAAC